GTGTGAAGAAGAAATCGCCGAAAACCAAGGCAAGGGTATTACGGAAGATAAGGAGCTACCTGGACGAATCCGACGATGAGAGCGAAAAAGTAAAAGAGGAGGCGGGAAAACTTATTGAAGCAATCGAGAGGAGGAAAGGAAAGAAGAAGCTTAATGAGGAAGAAGGGAGAGTGTCGAGTATCCAAAGGAGAGGACAGAAGGCGAACCCGGTAAGGATTGATGAAGAGGAATAACGGACACCACCATCGGCGAGGACAACAGAGGACGAAGATATGGCGAATCCTTGAATCCAGGACTTCGCGATTGAACTGCACAGACACTTATCTGAGAAGGTGTCGGAATTACGAAAGTTGTGCAATACGGAGGGGATTGAATGGTCGAAGAAAGATACGGTCATCGGCGAGTTGGTGAAGTGCAAGGCGAAGTTGGCATACGGGGAGTTTGCCGAAAGTGGCCGCATATCACCTTTGTTTGAAAGGTAACGAGGGTAAGTATGGATGTGTTGAAGAGGGAAATGATGGCAAGGGGGGAAGTAGTGAATGGACGGAGGAAGGGTCTCACCGCTCACGACAAAGATCGGATTTTCGGACTCTTCTTACTCTGTGTGATTAGGGGGGAATGTTCGTGGGTCAGGAAGTGGGTAGGTATGGTAAGTAGTAATGGCGGGAATATGTCGACGACGAATCCAGGAGTGTACGTCTTGGTTAGCACGTGGTGCCGTCACTTTTATATTAGTTGTACCACACGGGCAGTAATAGTAAGATGGTCAGATCATGTGAAGCGGGCAATTAACGGTGATTTGGGAAACGCTCTTAAGTTACACGCGTGGCTGCGGATCTTTGGATGGCAAAAGTATATGGCGATTCCCGTGGTTAGTGGAATTGGGGATCCGGGGGTAGTAGAGTCATTGTTAGTAAAGAAGTACTCACCATCTTTGAACACTCACGGCATGGGGAGGGAAGGGAGAAGGGTAAGAAAGAGGCCGGGGAAGAGAGAAAGAGGGAGAAGGAAGGTGAATGTGTTAGGAGAACGATTGATAAAGTTCAATGGACGCGCGTCACTAATTGATCTGCTCCAGGAGATAAAGGGGAGAATGGGTATTCAACAGATCTCGTCGACAGGAGGGTCGATTTGGATGGACAAGTGGAAGGTTATTCGAGGGAAAGTAGGAGAGACTACTTTGGTGGTTGGGAAGGAGGTAAAGTCGATCAAGGAATGCAAGCAGGTAATGGAAAAGGGTGGGACGTTTCAGGTAAGGACCATCAAAATTATGTCGTCAGGAATCGAGCATCGGAAGTTTGTGCTCAGGGATGTTTTGAGACAGCCATGGAGGGTGCGCGATCTGTATAAAAAGAGCTCCAGGGAACTCATCGCTTTATACAGGACTCCAACACTGTTTTCGGAGAAAAAGAGTCGGAATCGGATCAAATGCATCCTATCCAGGGTGGTGAAGGGTAAGTACGGGAGCGAGATTAGAAGGAGACCATGTGTGAAAGTACCGTTTTCCTCGGAGCTGAAGTTGGGAGTCGTTAGACGAGTGGCAGCACAGTTGATTATACGAGCTATGGCAGACCCGGATGTTGCCAGGTTCGTAGCAACAAGGGTAAGGGTCGTGGTGAGAAGGAGGCTTACCGTTGGGAGCATCATCCATAATCAGTGGAAATGCGCAGAGAACGACGTGGCACTATGTACCTGCGATGGGTTTCACCTTCCGAGGAGCGAAGGACACGTTAAGGTACGACTATGCGATGTGAAGGACGTCCCGAAGTTTTTTTCGTGATTCGAAGAACGTGACAAGCGGGTGGGTTATCTCTCCAGAGGTACTAGAGGCGTGCATAAGAGAAGGCGTGAGTGGGTGGGTGAGAGGAAGAGATACCGATGTGCCCTACGGGGATATCAGTGAGTGCTATGTGACATGGCTGAAATGGCGATGACGGCGAATGAGGTCAGAATGTGTTTTAAGAAGTATAGCGATTTGGTAGCCGTTCCGATCGATCAGAATCCAGGGGACACGTTGCTGGTATGCCCTGTCTTGTATCTACGAGCCTGCAAGGAAACTTTTAACTGGAGTTAGAGCTTTCGAGTAGTACATGAACCGGAGAATCAGGTGATAGCCAGGATGAAGACGGGGTTCTTGGGCAAAGGATTGAGCAAGGTGGCTAGGTGGCAAACCGAGGGAAAGATCGGTCAAGCCTAAGTTCTACCCAAAGATAGGGATTTGGGTAGATTGCGACCGATCTCTCCAAGTACTACTGATCCAGCAAGACTGGCAGGAGCCAGAGTGGGGAGGGCTATCAGGTATATGCTCTTCGGGATTAGAAAGACAGAACATTTTGACTTGAAGTTTATGGATGAGTTGAAGGTAAGATGTGAGGAGATCCAGCTGAGCACGAAAGGGGACGGGATTATCGCAAGAAGTTATGATATTAAGGACATGTTCGCACGACTATCGCACGAAAGCATTCTGGAAGCAGTTGAGTGAGTGACGACATGGCATGAGAGAAGAGGAATGAAAGGCATATGGGTTAGTCAGAGAGGGAAATTGTGTGCCATGGTAAAGAGAATTCGGAAGGATGAAGGTTTCGTTATCCTTTCGTTTGATGAGATTAGGAAGGAGGTGGCATTTGAGCTTTCCCATTCGTATGTTAGGTGTGCCGGTGTGATAGTGATGCAGAGATTCGGTATTCCCATGGGTCGGAATTCCAGTCCAACACTGGCATGTTTGGTATGCGCGAAAGCTGAATCAAGCTTCTTAGAACAAATGAGAGAGAGGGGGATGATCATTAGAGGGATAAGGATGATAGACGATGTGGCTGTGATGACTGGTTTTGAGTTGGGAAAACGGGAGACGAGGGCGAGGGCAGAAATGGCATTGGGAGAATTCGAGAAGTGCTATGACAAGAATTTGAAAATGGTCCGCAAGGATGATGGAGGCAATGTTTTTGATTTCCTGGGTGCTCGGATTTTCGTTGAGTTTGAGCCAATGAGGATCAACGTACACCCCAAGACAAGGAATCAGATGTGTATGCTTGACGAGGGGAGGTTAAGGGTACAATCCATGCAAGATTTCGCCTAATTTACAAGGAAGGCGTCCAAGAAGGCAACTATGTATGCCTGCTGGTGAGATCGCCCCTCCCTCCCCGTGCCCCTTCCCCCTCAGCCCTACACTGCCTTTGTCAAGGAGAGTCACCCACTTTCCCTCGGCCCCAATATAGGACCAATCCTCTCCCCCCCTTTCCCCAGGAGCACACAGTTCCCACCTAAAGCATGGTCTTTTGGCTAAGATCAAGTGTAGGAAGGAGAAGAAGAAGAAGAGTGAAAGGTGGCGGCGGCAAGCGGCGGGGGATCGCTAACGCACACAGCGCAACGCAGGCGCTGCATGCATGCCAAAACTCGCCGGCGGAATGGCACGGGCGCAAGGGGTGTAGCGTGCTTATGGGTGTGGGAAGAGTTGTTGTCCAACAGGGGTATCACCACGCCCCTGGCTATGGCTGGCCTTGGTCGGTGGGAATCGGCAATCCTCGTTAGGTCGCGAAGGGAAAGAGTTGCATGTGTCGCTGACTGCGAGGCAGAGTTTGCTAGCCGCCAACATACCATAAATGAAGCCTGATCAGGGGCTTTGGCCCCATGGTCTCAGATACGTAGTCTGGCTAGAGTAAGCAGGATGCCGCTTTCCTAGGAAAAATGATTCTTGTTGAGAGTCAGCAATGGAGCTGAAGTCGCGAGGCGACTCTGGTCTTAGTCCCCCTCGCTATTATGAAAGTCTGGGCGACTTCGGCGCGATAGGGTTGCTTCCAGTGAGGCTTTCAGCACTTCTGCCTTCAATCAACGATTCCATCTCCAGAGAATGCATCTACTGGTAAGCTTTTTCCTCGTCATGATAGAGGAAAACCTTTGTTGTCTTTTGTTTTTCATTACTAGAGTCGTACGTTTTTGGTTGTTTTGGTGGATTGTGGAATTGTTATTCCAAATTTGGTGTGGGATTCGTTAGTTTTATTTTCGGTAGTTTCCTGGGATTTTTCAATTTTTTCGTTGTATGTCGCCGCTTTAGGCGTAATTGCTAGCTGTTTGTTTTTTTAGCTTTACTAATGTTTTTCTTTTTCTGCTTACACCGTATTGCTTGATGTTATACTTGATAGCTATTGCTGGGTTTGTGTTTTGGTTGATTACGTTGTACCGTGGTGAGATGAACGTGGGAGTGTCGCTTTGCGAAGACCCTGTCATGGTGGGCGGCAGGGTTTTTAGGGGGTTGATGCTGATAGGGGGAGCAGTTTGCCCTAAATCGCAAGGAGGTGGGTGGGTTTGCAGGGTCCTTTGACCCTTGCCGAGCAAGTGGTAGGGCACTTCTGCAGGTTCGTTAATGTTTTGGGTTACGTTTATTTCCTTGTGTATGCTTGGAGTTTTATTCTATCATCCTTTTCTTGTGGGATTAGGGAGCGTTGCTCCGTACAATTTTCATCATGGAGGGAGGTGAAGATCTCATTGAGGAGTGCATGCGGACGGGGGTGCGGATTACCCTAAATCGCGAGGAGGTGGGTGGGCTTTGCGGGGCCTTTGGCCCCTGCCGCGCGGGAGGTAGGGCTTTTCGCAGGGTTTGCTGAAACACCATTATGGAGGGAGTTGGTGTTTTAGGGTAGGTAACGTAGGGGGTGGGGTGATCTGCTTTGAATCATGAGGAGGTGGGTGGGTTTGCGGGGTCTGTGCTTACAGATCCCTGTCGCGCGGGTGGCAGAGTGGATCTGTAGGGTTGGGCTATTTTCAAGGGTGATAAACTTTGTTTTTGTAGGTTCTGTTCTGTTTTTATTTTTTTAGGGTAATTTGTGTAGTGCACAATTAGGATTGCATAGTGCATAATTAGGATTTCGTCATTTTCGTATGGTCAGAGGAGACTGTTTACCATGTGGCCTTCTCTATGATGTAAGGGATGCCGGACTCGTTTTCCGGCTTGTATAATTCAACAGCAGCCGTCGTATGAACCAGGCCGGAGTGCCTGAATCATACAACATCTGGCTTCCCTTTGGAAAAAAAAAGATAAAAATTAAGAGGGAGATACCTTACATCACGAAGAACTCACAAAAAAAAACTCAAAAAAAAATAATAATATCTAGGTGCCAAAATATTTATTTGCGGGGTGCGAACCCCTTCAGGTTCGGGCCCCGTACGGGGACCCGAACGCCTGAACATTCGGGGGTCAGCTTAGGGGCCTCCGTACGTTCGGCCTGGCAATATATATATATATATATATATATATATATATATATAGTCGGTGAAACTCCGACGAAACAGTTTGTCACAGCCCCTCGTTTGTTGTCCTCTTCTCCCTCTCTGCCTACGGTTTACCGGGCAGTTCTATTTGACGATATATAT